ATAAGCAAAACCAAGGACATGATCATTGATTTGAGAAGACATCCCCACATACATGAAATCTTAACAATCGCGAATCAGAAAGTAGAATTTGTGCAATCATCCAAATATCTCGGGACAATTATTGACTTAAAATTGAGCTCTGATCCAAACTGTGAAGCTGTGTGAAAAATGCGGGCACCAGCGTTTGTACTGTCTTAGAAAACTGTCGTATTTTAACATTGACAAAACCATGATGATTATGTTTTATCGTGCTTTTATCGAGTCAATTCTGTTTTCACTAGTGTCATGGTTTGGTAAACTGACGCTAAAGAGCAGAAACTCTCTGAGTCAGATCGTAAAGTGGTCCAGCAGACTGATTGGTGAGCCTTAGCTAAACCTGGAGACCCTGTACCTCAGGCAGTGACAGCGGTTATCCTGCTCCATATTAGACGATGACTCCCACCCTCTGCACTCAGAATTTAAGTTTTTTCCTTCGGGCCGGAGGTTCCTCGTCCCAAAGAGTAGAACGAAGCGGTATGAAAACAGTTTTATTCCGGCAGCTATTGCACAAATTAACACATCATAGGAGTGTCACACAGATGCCTATTTATTTGCCTATTTTATTTTCCACATATTAGTTTGTTAAAGTTTAAATCTCATAATAACTGCTTCATTTTATCATAAAAAGTTTATTAGTATAACTAAACTGAACTGTTGATTAAGATGTTGGAATAAAGAAATCAGCACAGAGCTCACAAAGGTACACACAAATGTAAGTAGATATTTTAAAGTTGTAGAGGTAGGTAAGCATAGATGAGCCCTGGAGTGTTAATAGGGGATTAAAAGGGTCATCTTGGCGAGTTTATTTAAAACAAAATCAAAAATATAAAAATCATATCTCCCCCTCTCTTTTTTCCTTCCTCCACCCCTGCTTGCTTGCTATCCCTCCCACCCTCTCTCTCTCTCTCTCTCACACACACACACACACACACACACACACACACACACAGGGATTGAGTATTTTTCAAGGAGTATTGTGTGTATTGCCTCCCTATCAGGTACAAACTGTTAGAAGTACAGTGCAGGAACCTGAGCGAGATGAGGAGCAGCACAGTGGTTTAAAATATCACATTCATTTTGTTAGTCTCTCTGTCTCTCACCCTCCCTCTCTCCCCTCATTTAAACTCCTGCAGGACAAATATATGGGACAATGGGAGTTAGAACTGCAGGTTAACACAAAAAAACCTTTGTTTACACATTACATTGATCTTTCAAACTCAAGGCTGGAGGATTTGTCACTGTGAGTCTTTCTGGTTTTCTCTCTTTATGTTGTGCTAGGGAATAATTTGCTTAGATATTCTACCTTCGACACAGTTCATCATTTTCTCCTCTCACTGTCTCCTTTCCCATGGCCTAGGTCTACAGCCTTGGGTATTGCGCATTGTTGTTGCCAGTCTATGACCGAGCACAAGCCGCCATGAGGTAGTTTGCTGTTCAGGGACGAAGGTTCCCTGGCGCACATTATTTTCTATGGACGAGAGCTCTAGTTAGATTCAGGGTCCATAATTGTTTAGTCTTACTGATAAAGAATGTTGATTATTACACTCCGAACTAGTTAAAACCTTGAGGTGCAGAAAGAGTTCTTCAGAATNGGCTGAAACAGAGGGGATTATGGGATGCTGCAATGATCTGTTTGGTGTTTGGAGCCAAACACTTCAGAGAAATGTTTTGTATATATCTGAGACCTTTAATATATTGATGAAAAACAGTATGATAGGGGACCTTTAAACAAACAACATATACACACTCACACACTATTGGCTCTAGTTAGATTCAGGTTCCATAATTGTTTAGTCTTACTGATAAAGAATGTTGATTATTACACTCCGAACTAGTTAAAACATCGAGGTGCAGAAAGAGTTCTTCAGAATTGGTTTGGCAACCGCTGTGTCAACTCGTGACACACCACCTGTCTTGTCAATTCATTTCATTTCATTTCAAACCTTTATTTACCCAGGTGTATCCCATTGAGATCATTGATCTCTTTTTCAAGGGAGACCTGCTCAATTCTCCGGCTGTAACTCCAAATAAACCCTCAGTGTTTGCAATCAAAGCTCCAGCTCTCCTCGTGTCTCTCTGAGTCCTGTTTCCAATTGCTTCAGAAGTTTCCCCCACAGCAACAACACATTTTCTTTATTTTGTTTTCCACGCCAGATATTCCCCCCTCAGTGTAGGCGAGGTTCTTAGCTGATAGCCTTAGCGTTGCTGTGCAAAACTGCTGTGACATCATCTTAAACTCCCTTACTCGCATAATCCTTTCATTGGCAACCAAACAGATTACCGTGTGCAGTTTCTCAAGTGCACGGTGTAGTTTTGCTGCTTTATAAAAAATTCAGTTTGGAGTGAACCAAATATTTTAATGGCTATTGATGGTAGTTTCATTTTGTGCAGGATGTCTGGTGTTCTCTAACTGTTAGCTGGCCACAGTGATTTAACTTCCCCTCTGGTGTTGCTTTATTTCGCGTGAAGTCTGAACTGAGGTGGTACCAGAAAAAGTACAATCCACAAACCTTTCTGATGAAAAAACAAAAAAGAGCAGTGTAGCCATGCTGTGACAAATAGTGGAGTATGCAAACATATTTTCCGACATGTTGAACTATTTATTTTAGTTATACTGATAAAGTTATAATTCTGTAGTGTTTACAGCCAACTATCATGCCCAACACAAGCCCTGTTGTTTTGCTGGAACAAAAGACAAAGACAAGTAGCACATTTGAATATCCAAAAGGCTGAAACTTGAAAATTGTTTTTCTTGATAAACGACTTTATAGACTAAACTGCACTGCAAGTGACAAATCAAAAATGAATAATCAAGTACAAATGGTAAGCAAATACGCCTTACAACTCTCCAGAGGTAGATGTTTTGATCTATTTGTTATTCTTACACTTAGACTGATCATAGTTATTATTTTTGTACACAGAGATGTGAAGTGAACTCATGCCTCATTACAGTGACATTAATTCACATTTCTTACTCAATGTCATTTTAATATCAATGTACCAATCTGCCTTAAAGACATGGATTTAATGGTCTTTGAATATGTCAGAGCAACACATATGAAACTATATCTGTGTGCATAGTGCCTTTAAACCCTCTGCCCTTGACTGGTGCCACATTGTGTCATTAGCTTCTCTAATTAGCATACACACTGCATAACCAGTTTCACATTAGGGGTAAAACCAGAGTAGCGTGGCAGTGTGTTTTAAGACAACCAAAACAACCTGTGGTCAATCGACACACATCTTTTGATCAGCTAAATGGCATTTAGATGTAATGAATAACCCGCTCTCACTTTAGGTCCCTACCGAATCATTAGAAATGTGTTCTAACTAAAGCCAACTGCGTTCTGCTCCTCAGTCTGGATGTCTTTCCCCTCGAGGCGTTGCAGCTGACGAGCTATTAGTGCTAATTACAGCTCTGCTTCATTTAGAAACCTCTCATTTAGACGCTGCCACCACACTTCACCTCCAGCAACTCAGATTTTGTGTAAATGAGGAAATGTATGAGCTGAGCATTTTTTGTCTTCTTTTAACTCCTGTGTCTTTGCGGATTAAAGCACCTCTGCAGTCTTTGAAGTGGTACTGAAGCGACACTGTCAGAACACCGTAGTTTTGTTTTTTCTGCCAAACTCACTTGGTATTCAGGCTCATTTTGCATCGGAGGAAAACAACCACAATTTTGAACAGTTCATGTGATGCACTAAGGGTGAAGGCTCGATTTCCTGTCTCAGATGGAACTCCTTGTGTTTTAAAAAGCCCCTAATGCAGTCGATGACCCATTTCTGCTGCCACTGGATCCTTTGATCCGTTTGTTGAGTGAATGCCCAAGCATTTTTGTGGAGATTTCAAAGCAGCAAAAATAAGTCATTATTTCTTCATCTCAGTCATTCAGACAGAATGAGGACACAATCATTCTCTATTTAAATAACTAAGACTATGTCTGAAAAAGTTCACTTTATGTATGGTGTTACACAGTAACTGGCAACAACGGGCTCCAAGGGCTTTCAGACAAAATAGAGCATTCAGATCATGTCCTTATTTCAACACTTGTCGAGTACCCTCATTACTTACACTGCATTCATCAAAAAGTTAGCTACTGCCCATGACATTGTCTAAAAACATGATTAGTTGTTGGTCAAGTGATTAAAGAGGCCCTTTTATTATTTATTTTACTTTAGAGCCTTTAGCAAAAACACTTCTGAAAGAGCCAAAAATGATGACAAGTTAAATTACAGCAGCATGTGAGTCCTGCAGCATTAACTGCCATTATGTAATGTGCAACCCACTCTCTTCAGTCTGCGAACAAATGAACCGACTTTACACATTGGAAAATGCAATCGGTATTTAGTATACACTATTGCAAGCATTTTCCAATGTGTAAAGTCATGTCATTTGTACGCAGACTGAAGAGAGTGGGTTGGTAATGTGATACCCCCCAATATTTGCACAGCAAGAACTTAAAAAGGTCATAATATAAGCTTCACAAATAGGACACAAGCAGGAGACTTTGTTTTACGAGGAGGTCGCCTGTTTTGGAACACGTCGAGGACAAGTCGAGGATTATTGAAAAAGCAAGGACCCAATGACAGATGTTCATCAAACAAAATTAGAAATGAAGTGAGCGAGATGTTCAGAGAGATTCTGGCTGGGATACGGCTGGGTTACTGCTTCACTGGGAAGTTTGTTCCACTTTTTCTGAAAGTGGCAAAAACAACTATAAATATTTCAGGACAAGAAATAAACAAGTCAAGGATTAATATTTATACTCCTAAGGGCATGTGAGTTGTTTTCACGGTTCCTTTGAAATATTTGATCCCAGTCACTACTGAGAGCACTGCGCCAACAAAGCATTAATGAATAGATGTAGTACATAATTGATCAAATCTTGGAGTACAGGGGCATGCGACAGATATGTCTTGCTTTACTGACATGTCATTGATTCTTTCCTTGAGATCATAAAAGCCCCTCACCAAGTTCCGAACAAAGAACTATGACTTTTTAATTCACCGTCGGTCGAGGAAGAGAAAAATAGATAATACAGAATGGAGCTCTAGCAGAATGGCTGATTACTTGCAGCCATGTTATAAAGGAATCACAGTTTTTATAACGAATAACAGCATGAATGTTGTAACAAGAACCAACATTTAGTGATTAACACAAAACGTTTGTAGTCTTCAACCACTTCAGCCTAACAACTGTCTAAAAAAGTGGGAAGCAGCTACGGCCCTAGGAGCCTATTGCTGCAAACATGTTGTAAACACAAAACTGTTTTAAAACTGGAAGATTAGATATTCGGGAAATCATTCCTTAATTGTTAGTAAGATATTTAAGACATACATCTGTGGGGCCCTTTGGAAAGCCAAATAAACTACTTCTGAAAACAAAAAGTCCACAATTCCCTGTTTGGGTGTTTTTAAATAGTCAAATCAGACAATAGACCCTATAGCATTGTCCAACTTCAGTACAGCGAGTAGTGGTACCGCAGGTAAAGCTGTTTGGTAATAGCCAAAAACAGCTGAAGATGCGTGATTTCGCTTTTTAGGTAGAACAATTACAATTGAGCTATTTAGCCAATTAGCCAGGATTTCTGTGCATGGGTTGATTCAGAAAATCTTCACAGGCTCTTACTATTGGATTTAGGCTAAAACATTTTAATTTGTCTTCAGGCATGACAGCGTGTGTTGAAATTGCTGAACTACTTTCGTCCAGTTCGCTTTCATTGAACAGGTGGAAAACAAACTGATTTAAGTATAAATTAATAGTCACTTCAGCTGCAGTTACAACAGGAAGCAGATGGAAACTGTACATGCCTCCCTCCATACTTGCTATTGCAATTATAGCTGATTGATTGTTATTGATGTATTGGGTAGATAGATCCTTTCAAAACTCTTCTGTGTTGAATTTTTTTTTTGATGACCAGATTTCAAACTCTTGACTTTTTTTATATATGATAACTATCCAATCCTGAAAAGGCATATGACGTAATGAGAGATAACAATAATTAGTCAGTAAAAACACAATTATTCTGTATGGCTTTCAAAAACCAAGTGTTTGATGTTGATAGTGTTCTCTGAAGCTGCTGGCAGATTAATGTGTAGGAAGTTAAATGTTTGTTGTTCATACGACCTCTGCTGAGAAATGAGTGGGAGCCTTTTGATGTATCTTATTTTCAGAGTGTGACTTTGTAGCTCCAAGCAATTATAGGTCATGGCCACAGGTTAGATCGGTTAGATCCCACATGGGTTTACTCACACTATAAATGTGCACTTATATAGTTACAGCATGTATTTGGGATAAGAGTGCCCACTGAAGACAACATTCAATGGCCTGTTTTTATTTTGGGAAAAGGGTTAACTGATCTTCTCTTAATGTTGAGACCTTAATCTTAAAATGTAGGACACAAAATAAAGTCCCATCATTATTTATTTGAGAATATTTTCTGTAACAATCTGACTTTATGGCTGAGCCTCAAGAGAAAAAAGGGACAGTTTTAGTGACAATTGATTTGTTCACTTTTCTGATAACATATAATCACACATCCTGTCTAAACCAGAGGACAACAATCCAAAGAAATCCTAAAAAAGTTATTTAAAAAATGTCATAAAAAGAATTGCTTTGCCACTTTCATCATCTGAAGTTGACATATATACTACACTGTGGTAAATTGTGCTCCATTGCAGTGACAGCACAGCAGTGACAAACACGGCCGATAAACATCCGCCGCTATGTGTCACTTCCTGACAGGGATAAAAATAAAAATAAATATTCAGAAGGATAAATGTGGCATTATGTTAGAAAGGCACTGACTCGGGGATCAGTACAACTAAACGTCAAAGGTTCAGGAATTATGAGGAGCAGTTTACTTGCTTCTCTGCAGAGAAGGTGATCGGCTGCAATCTGCCATCCCTCCACGACCTGCACGCCTCCAGAACCCTGAGGCGGGCAGGGAAGATAGTGGCCGACCCCTGCCTCCCTGGATACAAACTGTTCACCCCCCCCCCTCTGGCAGGAGGCTGCGCTCCATCAGGACCAATACCTCTCGCCACCTGAACACTTTCTTCCCCTCCGCTACCGGCCTCTTAAACAAGGCCCAGCCCCCCCACTGACACTTACCTCAGCCACAACGTAATCTCTATGCATTACATTAATAATGCACACAATGTTCAAATACTGCTTACTGCACATATTCTTATTTCATATTTCATAGTTTATATTCTATAATTGCAATCTATTTCGCTGTAAATTACTGCTCTATTTTGTTGCTTTTTAACTATATTTTATTACAGTGTCCTTAAAGATTTTTTGTTTTATATTAGATGTTTTTTTTTATATGGAGATTCTTTGTTTTATATTTTATGTATGCACCACGACATCAAGTCAAAATTCCTCGTATGTGTGACTACAAAAACAGGATAACAGACAGACATATATAACAAATAAATAAATAAATAATAATAATAAATGTTCGCTGTGATATGGTAGATTATTGATTAATCCTAAAATGAGAAAAACAATAGCTTACATGTTCATTAAGTCACAACTCTGACCAATCTTTTACTATTGCTTAACCCTTGTATGGTATTCGGGTCTGTGGGACCCGTTGTCATTATTTAGCTAAAGAAAAATGATTTTTTTTCAAACCCACACTCAATAGCCTTGGCTCATTTTCTGTGAAGAACATATATCAGAACACATTTTCAATGACCACCCACTGTAC